AAGATTTCACGACGGTCTCTTTCTCGTATCACGATACCCCACTTTGTTAAAGTGATTGCACCCTTTCTGCGATTCAGCATGAACAAGCGTTGAAACGCTCTTCCGATTCCTTCACTAAGAAAGGCGCACTCCTTATAATAGTGGGCGCAGTCTAGTCTCGACCTATGTGCTACCGCTGGCAGCCGTCGTCAATGAACACGAAGTAATGAAAGCGAAAGCTGTACTTGGTTAGGACTCTTCTCGTGAAACTGTGCTGTCACCGTTGTTGGAGTCAAGGCTGGTAAAACGTAACACCATCCCGAAGAGTGTTGATCACGATGGCTCCCTACGTACTATGAAGTCGCCATGCTTCAATCGCTGACTCAAACAGTATATTACGTTGCTTGGAAGTAGTATCATCATTCACTTCTTCAGTTGCTACGTAAGCTCCAGACATTTCACTAGCCGCGATGCGTATCTCTCCATCCTTTCCCGTATTGATCGCTCGCGTTCTCCAAGCACTCCTCAGCGCTACCGCCTTCGGCCTCACTATCTTGTTGGGTATTTTTTCTGGTCCTTTTCCATCTATCCTCCGCTTCGCAGCCGGTGTTAGCCTAGCAACTCTACTCGCCGCCCTCTTGACGGCCATCTTCCGTAATTCTTTGCACCCCTGGATCAGGAACACAATCGACGGTGGACTATTGTCACTGAATATGGCCGTGGGCTCGGTATGCTCTCCATCGTATCTTTGAATATCTCTGCGCGGTCACCAGGATTGTTTCACTGACGCTAGTCATAGATGATGGCTTCTGACCGACAGGGCCTCTCCTGTGGTGATGAGAGTGCAGACCACAACAATGCTGTTTGTATGGACTCCGGCAATTGCTACTATGATGGGCACTATGATAAACACGAGAATTGGGATTATAATTCGGGCCTCTGCATCTTCTATCAATGTGTCACCGCCATTATGCTTTCAGCTGTACCAGTAATACTGTTGATTTGGCTCTTGATCTATGTTAGAACGGAAAAAGGATGGAGGGTCGGTGGATGGAAGATTGAGAGAGTATCGAATCCGTATGAGCTTACCGGGCCTGCCGAGCTAGCTGGCGTGGTACCCATGGTAGCTATTCCAGCCAGGGCACGTCTGCCTTGATTCATTAAGGCCTTCTAGCTATGATAGAGAATTGGAGTTGTACAAGAAACGATGATACGGAAAGCTCTACCCAAAAGGTACGAACTTGTGATTGCACGCACCCTCGGTGTGACTGTACGACATTGCCGTCGCAGAACATGTTGCAACGACCCGCAAGGCTGTGCAGACATCATATCAATCTACTTGTACTATGTGCACGCTTTCCCCGCTTGCTTCTTCTTCTCCTACAAACACCGAAGGTTAGCATCGCCAATCTCCTCCTACTTCGACCTTGATCACTTCCCACAATGGCATTCACCAAAACCCTGATACCTTCGTCCATCCTTCGCGCTCTCCAAGCACTCTTCGGAATTATCGTCTTAGGCTTATCCGTAACACTCATCAGAGGCCACAATCCTCTTCATTGGACCATAACCAAACTACCTACCCTTCTTCCCTTTTCGGCGGCCATCGGCGGTCTTACTGTTGCCGGTGCTCTTCTAGGCTTCGTGCTATCATGGACAGAGTTCTTACGGGGATTCTTCGAGATAATCCTCGACATTGCTGTCCTGCTTGCCAATCTCGTCGGCGGCGTGGTACGTCATCTCATACTTGATACATATTTTGTCGCCACTGGAAAACGTTTTAGTAACTGAACGCTGACCAAACACACAGCTCATAGCCATGCGACTCAAGGGCTTAAACTGTTATGACGAGAGCAACCGAAACAGGGTCGGTGACCATGGATATCCTTTCAAAGGTAGTCTTGGCAGTGTTGACATTTTGAACGGCGGATGCACAAAAGAGAAGAGTAGAGTTACCATCTGCTACTATACCAACTATGCCGACCAGGAAGCCAAGCTCAATACTCGGTGCAGGCAAAGCCAAGCAGACTCGGTCTTCATGTTCTTGACAGTCATAGTCCTGTTTGCGGTACTGACTTTGACGTATCTGCGCATAAAGAGGACACATTGAAGCCAGATTGAGGTGGCTGGTTGTATTGGTTGTAAGGTGGTGAGACCTACACTCGAAGACGAAAGCGCATGTAGCCAGAGCAGATTCGCAGAAACGAGAAGCCCATGTAATGTAATATCATGTTTCAATTCAATCACTCACTAAACGTGCCCACTACACTCCAAACTCCCGTGCTCGTACTCCGCAGCCGCATCAACGCCGTGCACGTCCAGCCTTTGGGTATCCGCTTCACTCAACCCCCAACTACGCCATCTCATACAGAGACATCGTTCATGGCTTAAACTGGGCAAGACTGTAGCGCAAGTTAGCTATGTTCTGCCTACGCAAATTCGCTCCAGTATCTTACGCTGCCGCAAGATCCACAGGTCTTGGCATCGCCGCTAATAGTAGAGCCGCACTTTGGGCAGTCGCTGTGGAAGTTGACAAGTTCGATTGTAGACTGCATATTGACTGTTTGCTGTGGCTTTTGCTGAGTTTCTTTCGTGTAGAATGTTGCGATGTCGTGGAGTAGTAGATTGCTGATAGATGAGAGAAGTTGGAGGGGTAAAGTGGGGTTGATATACAGAGCTTCTGCAGGGCCAGGCAGCTACCTCAAGCCGAGGCGGCTAGTGCATATGCCGTCAGATGACTGGCACGCGGTAAATGCGGTGGACCTCGCGATTGGAGGTGAGTGAGACGCGTGGGATGGGTGTTTCGCCATACGGGCGGCAAGGGAGACGGCTCCGTCCGATAGGAAGTAAGTGAGTGGAGTACGCTGTATGTTGAGAAAGACCGGGGAACTCGAGGTGTAGTTCGTATCCCTATCATTTGACGGGAGGAAAGGCCGAGAAGAAACTCTAGACAAGCTTCTGATTATTACCTATAGACCCTACCTAACATGGCAGATGACCTGTCCGTTGATAACAGCGAACCAGCCATCTTCCTTCTTTTCCATTTCCCTCCATGTCGCAGCGATCTCTTCCAGATCCTGCTCCGTCGCATATCCACTGTCCAGAGCCCGCTGTTTGTAGTCGCTTTGCACCGTTCGATCGGCCCAGAGTCCGCACCACCACTGTCGCTCTTCCGGTGTGCTGAATGTCCAGGCGGCTACGCTAGCCTCGATGTCGCTTCTTGGGAAACCGGCTTGCAAGGCTATCGCATGCACGTACCTGCCCATGTTCGGATGTGCCTTGAGCCCAAACGCAATCTTGATGTATAGTTCCTTCCACTTTTGCATTCCTGGATGCTCTGGATACCAGTCCATGGCACTGTAGTTGCACTCTCGGACTGCGACGATGCCGCCTGGCTTGGTCAAGCGCTTCATTTCCTTCATCGCACCCAGTGGGTCTTGTAGATGCTGCAGCACTTGATGCGCATGTACAATATCGAAGCCAGCCTCTTCTGCACCATCGAGCTTGTTCCATTCATGTATATCCCCAGCCTCGAACCGTATGTTTGTGATGCCCTTTTCCTCCGCGTGTTTTCGCGCCTTCTCGATGACTTCGGTGGAGGGATCGATGGCATAGACGAAGCCTTGTGGGACGCGCGCAGCAAGGTCGACGCTGATAGTTCCCGGGCCGCAGCCCACGTCGAGGATCTTGAGTGAAGGGTTGTTGAGGTAGGGGAGGAGGTGTGGACATGAGTTCTCGACAGTACGCCAGCTGTGGGAGCGGAGGACGGATGCGTGATGGCCGTGAAGGTATGGTCCTGACATCGTTGCTAATTGAGGTAATCGTGGTAATCGTATTGAAGCTCTAGTGAGTAGTAGTCAATTGAGGGTGTAGTGTGTAACTCAAGCAACGGAGAATCAGAGCGTTGTTATACGAACAGTCGTTCCTGCAGCCTGTGTTAGTCGCGGAGTTAGTTGGACATAACGCGTGTGCAGTCGGAAATAACGTGTACAAGTATCTCATACTCCGAAATCGGTATCAAAGCACTCTGGCTTTCCGTATACACGTTCGAGAGCCAGGATGGGGTGACAATGGAGGGGATGGTTGACAGGCGGCACCTGGGCATCTCCAAGTCCGAGCATCGGCCATCTCGGTACCATTGCTTAGTCACCCATTCGATCGGCCACCTCCATACCTCCACCATCTACTCCAACATCTCAAGAGCCAAGTCGCGCATTACCAGAATGTGTACAAGGCACAACGCGTACCCAGCACAAGTACCACAGTACAACCTGACCCCATCTACCCCTAGCTCCCACCCCAGCCACCCACCAAAACACCAACCACCCTAGTCCCAAAACAGACAATGGTAAATCCTCCCCAAACCTCACAATCAAGATATTACCCACACATTACACACGCGCGCGCATACTGCCGTACACCCGCTTCTGTGCATAACCTCACCGTCGGGTCAACTCGGTCCCACTGCAACCAGTATCTCATCCTGAAGTTGCCGCATCGAGTAGGTCTTGTTGCAAACCGTGGATTGCGGGAAACGTGCATTGTCCGTTTTGGATGTGGTCGGCATGTATGTTTTGAGTAGCGCTGCATGTGTTCATGCATGGAATATGGACTGGTGGATTTGTGGTAAGGACTGCGTGAGCATATACGCAGGAGGAGGTTTGACTGGTGCGCGAGGGATGGATGGCTGATGGGGCGGGGTGACGGATGGGGTAATGGGGAGCGAGGGGACAGGGGATACATATTGGAGAGTGGTAGGCTAATTGGGACTGTATAGTTGTATCTTGGTTCTTTGCGACGAAGGTTGTGGGATGAGGCAATTGTACAAAATGGTAATGCGTATGCTAAGCTAATCGCAAGAGAAAACGATGATACTAAGAAATGAGGAACGTATTTTCCGTACCAAAAGAGGTAATGGTGGTAGTACAAGCCCAAGCGAACCACAAGGAGAACAAAGAAAGACCCAAGCAATGCCGCACTACCCATCGATCTATCAGAACACCGACTCGCAAAACATGCGACTACCTCCTCGAGAACCTGCCATCAAATGAGTCTGCCTCTCGGTCATACCCAGACAGACTCTTTCGTCTCCGTCCGCCCTCAGCGAGACTAGCACTCCTCCGACTCCCCTTACTTCTCACCGAAGTAGAATATCCAATGCCGCTGTCCCTCCGACTACCCGGCTGCTCGATCACCTCCACAATATCCTCCTCATGCTTGAGCTGCCGGGTATCGTGATCATCCGAGAGATGCTTGATAAGAGCCTTGACGTCGCCGCAGATGGTATCCGAGTCCGCGTACTTGGAGCAAATCACGCAGCAATATTGGCCGTCGGGACCATCACGATGACACTTGACGACGAAGCGGTTCTGAACTTGGAAGGTACGTTCTGTGTCGTCGGCCCATTTGGAGATTTCCCATGCTTTTCCTGGTGAGAGGTGGAGTTCGCCTCTGCAGTGTGGGCAGTAGGGGTCCCGGTCTGATGTTATGCTGGTGGCAAGTTGTTGGGTTGGGTTCCGTTGGAGGTCGTATGCGTATACGCAGTATAGGTTGTTGGAGGCTGAGATCATCGTGGGTCCGGTTACGGAGGTGGCATCGGTGACTGATTGGTCTGGTTCGACGTTGTCTCGCCATGCGAGTACTGTTGTGTTGACAGGGCTGCTACTTCGCACGTGTGAACTCCGGGATCGTGGTTCCGGATACTTCATCAGAGCTGTGGATGCTGAACTCATACTAGCACCAGACTGAGGCAGTGTCAACGCGCGCGATGGTGCATGTGATTGCACGTGCGAAGGCGCATGCGAAGGTGCCTGGGACATGATGTGGGATGGTACATGAGGCGGTGCCTGGGATCCCGTCAAGGACTTCGCACGAGATCGCGTACGGGATGTCACGTGTGACGGTACATGCGATGGAGCATGGGAGGTATGGTGAGATGAGACGTGCGATGGCGCATGAGAAGTATGGTGGGATGGCGCATGCGAAGGCGGGCGCGAGGTATGATGTGACGATACATGTGAAGGCGCATGCGATGTATGGAGGGTCATTGCTTGTGATGGCGCATGCGACGGGCTCGAACGTGCCGTAAAAGAGTGCATCGACCTCGGTGTAAGCGGCCTCTCATCTTGTTGACGTTCCTGCAACGCAGCCAATATCTCGACCGACGTCGCAGCTGCTATCCTGGATGCCGCATTGATGTTGGCTAGCTGATGGGCGATGGTGTCGCCGGATGTGGGCCCGTATAGGAATGTGGTGACCAGCACGCTTTGGAGGGTAATGATCTGTGACTGGAGGGCTGTATGCGCGGTTACTGGTAGTGACTTGTTAGCTGATGGGTCTCATAGGGTTCAGAAGAAGAATAGCATGCATACCATCGCCCATGGCGAACTCGGCCCCCAGAGTTTCACATCCGATATCCATCTGCCTCATGACCACAGCTTTGTCCGTCACGATAGCCTCATCGCTACCCAGTCGGTCATCCTTCACATACTCGATCCGTCTTGAAGCAGGGTATCCTTTGCTGCGCAGGTTTTGTTCATAGTCTCTTTGCTCTTTAGCCGTGAGCGTCCCGTAGAGATCCCTCGTGGCATCAAAGACATCCAAGAGTGTGTTCACAAGCGACTGCACGACATTCGCCGGATCATCGGGAGGGTTCTGGGGTCGGTCGTCAGTACGCCCATTCATCGAACAACATGCCTTGCTTGCATATATACGGGCCGAATAGGAGGTATGCTTACTATGACAGCGACGCTCATGATCAGACTTTGCTGTTTTTTACTTGTTGTCGTTCCGGTTCCTGCTTCCTGCCGCACCGTACTTCCCTGATATGTATAAGACAGAAACAAACCTGACTCGCAGTCGAAAGGGGAGCTGAGCGTAGCGAAACTAAAGTAGTTTAAAACTAAGAGCTGAAGCCTAAGAAGTCACGTTCTAGGCACCACCACATAGGGGTCCTCTGTTACCTATACAAAACGTCCCACGCTCTCCAACCCACAGACCCCTTTGAATAAGCTCCGCAACGGATTGCTTCCCCACTCAAGCCCTACTTTGTTATGAATCGCCTCATGCTTGATGATGGCTTGGACAGCTGGCAGGGCGCCATTGGTGCTGAGCGCACCTTTGATTGGAACATCCACCGCTACGGGCCGCGCCAGGAACGCGCCCGCATGGAGCTTGACGTCATTCTCCAAACGTAGCGCCACGCCGATGGGAATAGTGGGTGTGACTTTAGTGCCAGTGCGCGGGGTGGATGCGTCGTATTACTTCTCTGGGTCGCGGTGGAGATGATAAGACCCAAATGCGGGTATAACGCCTTGTGTCATACTCAAACGGGTCCATTGCACGGGTGGGTTTTGCCCACGGTCTCGACGTTTCTAATTTTTTAACTACATGCAACATGATGTAGAGTGGGAGCGGTCTGGGGAGTCGCAAACTATTGAAGTGACTGTATCGTGCATGTCGCTCGAGAGCGTGCATTGGGACGCGCTGGTTGCGCTTGGGCAATGCGGTGTCGGAACACGTCATCGGGCGCGAGCAAAAGCGCAAAACGCGACCGAGCTATGTACGCGCCTCCCGCGACGATGTTGCTCGGGTATGGATGAGAACGGTCCTTTTTGGATCGCGGCTCTGTTTTGGGCGCCATCGTGTGATCGGGTGCGAGAGTAACAGTGTGACTAGGGGTTGGGATCGTGGCAGGCTCTCGATCATCGCCGGCTTAGCGCGGTACTAGCGCTGGATGCTCGTGCTGCCGGCCTCACAACATCGGGGTCAGACATCGGAAGTCGTAATATCCATACGAATTTACATGCAGAATGAATACAGCATTAAGTTTGTGACCGGAAGATCTAGTATGCAATTAAGGGTCACCCGCTGTCGGCGTTGGTAAAACGTTCACCTAGTACAGATACAGTCAGCTAATACACCAGAGAGCACAGCCAAGGAGTGCGATTAAGCTATCATATTTACACGACCAGCATGTCAGCCTCGAATATCCGTCTGTTGATTTCTAAGACACTGTCGTGTAATGGACACACTACTGCGATACATAGTCATGCTTGCCCAGCACGAGCGGTGAGTCTAGGACAGCCAGATCCCGACACCTTCAAAGACACCGAGAATGTACCACATGCCTCTTCTACCACCTCAAAATCTGCCAGGGACGGTATAGATTTGCGTTTAGTTGCATCGTCTAGCTCCCCCGAAGACGAGCAGAGACAGATTGTTGCCATCCCAGTGACGCTCTCGGAAGCCCCCGACTCCCAGAACCTTGCCTCACTCTGCAGGTTCCTCGGGCTCAACACTCCTGCTCTTGCTATCTTCGAGGCTCTTCTCTTTGATAAACCACGCAAAGATGGCGCTCCCTGCAACAAGCACAATGCCTACACACAATGCGGCCCTAGTCGCCCTTCCGTAACACTCCCGGACGATGCTCTTGAGTGCCGGATCCAGACCCCTGTAGTAAGCCAATCCAGCCCTGACACGCTCCGCAATCTCAGCCGCATCGTCACCCTGCAGCTTTTCCTGGAGAGCTTTGCGGAGTGTCTGGTTAAACGCCGTAGCGCACATGGAAACACCGAAGACTGACCCGAGAGAGCGGAAAAGGTAGGAACAAGCGGTGGCAACGGCTTGGTCGGTGTGGGAGGCATTCGCGATGAGGCCGATGAGTGTCGTCGTTACTCCTGTGCCATTGCTAAAAGAGCATATGCATGTAGCCACCACCATCGCGGGTAAGCTCTCGGTTAATAGGCCAGCGAATAGGAGGATGAATGAGAGCCCGATCGTGAGGTTCGTATACGCCATGACGGTGATCCAGTAGTACTTCGCTGTACGCCTCATGTAAAAGCCGCTGAAAAGCGAGCCGCTAACACCAAAGATGATGGAAGGGACAAGGAACAGTCCAGCTTTGGAAGCGCTGTAGTCGCCCATGACCTGCCAATAAAGCGGTATGAAGAACAAGGCAGCCAACCATCCCCCGAAAGAGAAGAAGTTGCAAAGATAGCATGCGAAAAGCGTCTTGTTGAGGATGATCCGGCCTGGGGCGAAGGGATGACTTGCGACGTACTTCTCGACTAGCACGAAGACGACGAACAGCGGCGTAGATGCGAGACCGACGATGGTGATGGGTTCACCCCAGGATACGTTGGAGCCGCGATCGAGACCGACAAGTAAACCGAAGACGGCGAAGATCAGGATGACCGCGCCTAGGAAGTCTATCCTCTTGATCTTCTCTTTCCAGTGCGAGTGGTCTTGCTCTGGGAGATCAAGCACCAATGACACAGCAATGAAGGCCGCAGCGCACATCGGACCTTGCGCCAGGAATGCCCTGCAGAGGTAGAGGTACGAAGTCAGTACACGTCTCACATGCATTTCGTACAGACAGGACTTACCATCGCCATCCAATGCTATCCGCGAGTAGCCCACCAAGAGGCGCACCAGCCGAAGCACCAAAAGCGTAGACCAAGTTGACATAGCCCCTAAATGTAGGTGTGTGAAGTCAGTGTATGCGTCACACGCACTTCGTACGGAAAGACTTACTGCCACTGCCCCCTCTCCCTCAAGCCCACGATATCACTCAACAAAATACTCGTGCACACACTCATGCCGCCACCCCCAATCCCCGCAAAAGCCCTCGCAGCAACCAACTTCAAACGTGAGGATACGAAGTCAGTGTATATATCATGTGCGTTTCGTACATGTACGACTTACCTCACCAATGCTCCTCGCAAGCCCACACCCCACACTGCCAACCCCAAAGATCAAATACGCAGACAACAGACATTGTTTCCTACCGAAAATATCCGAGAGTTTACCGTAGAGAGGCTGGAAGGCGGAAAGTGTAAGAAAATACCCCGTCGCAATCCAGGAGGTAGAGGACAGGGCGTGTAGATCTGTGCCGATGGTGCCGTAGGTGGTTATTACGAGGGTTTGGTCGGCGGAGGAAAGGAAGACCTATTCATTCATTCGTTAGTATCGAGAACTTTTGTACGGAGATACACAGGTATGAACGAATAGGCTGGAAGTTTACTTACACCAATAGCAATAGCAGGAAATATATATTTCATCCTCTTCCTGACTTCAGGCAGGCCCTGGTGTTTAAACGCGTCGCCATGGCTGACTTGGCGTTCGATGTCTCCCCCATCTTCTGCGTGCAGTCCTTCTGGTGCGATACCAGTTTCTACAACGGTTGTCTGCGCGTCGTTCGTGGGGTTTGGCAGGAGTGGGGTGGTTTCATGCGCAGGGACATGCTCGTCGCGTGGGAGATTCGGCGTCATTGCGGCGGGGTCGGGATGGCTTGCATGCAACGGCGAGACGCTGGATACTGCTCAAGACATGGAGGGGTGTGAAAGCGAGCTTTAGGTATAATTCTTTGACGCACGAGTATGACTCTTCATCAGAGTTGTCATGGCGATGATCGGTAAGCTGCGACGCGTAGTTGCTGGGACGATTTTCATAAGCCGCGTTATGTCCGTAGGGCGTAGTGGGGCTGGATCAGATAGGCAGGTCGTTGGATGGATCACGGGAAGTCGCGATGGCACGAACGCGTTCACAGATAACGAGGATGCAGCTGCAGACAACGTCGGGTCGCTAATGTACAGAATAGACTACAGTAACTATAATACTTTCTCAGACCGGACCATGCATAAACCGGGGATGAGGTATTGGATGCACATTTCATAACAGACGACTATCATTAATCGCAGCGATTTCA